ATAGCACAGAGACCTCTCTGGATTTAAAACTATTTTAATATAGCACGGAGACCTCTCTGGATTTAAAACTATTTTAATATAGCACGGAGACCTCTCTGGATTTAAAACTATTTTAATATAGTAACACAGAGACCTCTCTGGATTTAAAACTATTTTAATATAGCACAGAGACCTCTCTGGATTTAAAACTATTTTAATATAGCACAGAGACCTCTCTGGATTTAAAACTATTTTAATATAGCACAGAGACCTCTCTGGATTTAAAACTATTTTAATATAGCACAGAGACCTCTCTGGATTTAAAACTATTTTAATATAGCTATTTCATTTGTGCTACATACTTTCCATTTTCTCATTTTACTTTTTATATTCAAATTGTTTACTTATTATTTATTCCAAATTATATAATATTTTTGTTGTAATTACTACTGTGTTTATTTTGTACCTCTAGATTACTGATGATGGAATTATGACGATTCCAAAATGTCTAATAAATACTTCCTGTTATAATGTTAGTGTTTCGTTTTATCATTAAGCTACGTTTTCCAAAAAATTATCTTATCATGTATTAGCACAGTTCACATTAAACGTGAATTTTAGGTGGGAGTTAGCTCAAGCCTAATGACATGCAAATCTTATAAGCAGATGTATGAGGGATCAAGTTATTCTGTGTGGAGAGGTGAGGTAATGTCTAAGAAATTGTACTTTCATTAAAATTTTCAAATATATACATACAATATGGCATTGTTTAACATTTTAATACATACTATTAAAAATCATACTGTACTTAACAAAACCATTTAATACTTTCATGTATGTAAGAAACAGTCAAATAATATTTAATATGTTTATGCATGCAGATACACAGTTTTACTGTCTTCATAAGATAAAACAAATATATTTTACTTAAAATATTCATATTCTGCATTCATATGCATACAATACTTAACATTTCTTAAACAAGTAAACCAAAGGTTTAATACTTTGACTGCAATAATATTACAAAATTATTTGAAAATTTAAAACTTAAAATTTTTTGTAATAATGTTTCCAAACAGAAAAGTTTTAGCAGATATGAAACTGACTCAAAATATTTATCATTTTAAGTTAACTTACCCATAAGACGCAGCTTAAGTGGTTCTGGATAAGCTAGAGTTATTTCTGCTGAAAGTAGCTGTTTAGCAACACGAAAAATGTTTCTCCAGTCTGACGTAGGATACTGAAGAGACATACTTCTTGTACGGAGGTCAAACTTTACTGTTTTTATCTTCAATCCAACAACTTTTCCCTAATAATGTAAACATAACTGTTATGTTTGGAAATGATTCACTTTTAATTACAACTTTATAAAAGCAAAATCAAACCCACCCAGACACTTTTTTAATTGCTGTTAACAATGATTGATCTTCAATTTCTCCTTAGAAATGTACTTCATATCTTGTAGCATGTCTAGAATTGTAGATCTTGTTTCCTTGTTCCACTAACCTCTTCTCATCAGTAAGCATCACAAGAATAAAGGGTTCGCATCATTTTGAAACTAAAAAACACCAACAAATGAATGCTGTCATTACGAACTGCAGTACCTATTAGGAAGTCTCAGTTCAGTAGTCATGGGAACTACCAAACAACCAATGTCATAAAAGACTTGTTGCTGTTTCAAGACCATCCAGTTACACATAATGGGATTGTGATAAGAGCTTTCATTATCCACATTTATTTGGAATATCACAAGGTGAAAGATCTATAGTGGAGCCTAGAAATAAGTTTTAAGAAACTGTGATGGCTAATGAGTCATTATCAGATACTGTTACACTGAGTGACAATGGGACAAGGGTGATGACTATCGTGGCAAAACACACCCTGAAGTATTATCATCAGGCTATATAAATGAGGTAGGAAACAATACTTGGATCACACCTTTGCAGAGTTTAAAAGTGCATAATGTATAACATCAACCAATCTTGGTATCCAACAGTTATTCTCAATTTTCAGATTTTCATTAAAGGAGAACTACATTATATCAAAAGGTTTTTAATAACACATCCATACAAACACAATTGAGTGGAACACAACAGTTAGCTATGTTAGTAGAGAAGTCAAGACAAAGAAAAACTATATAACAACTCTTTAAACCCGTAATTCTGCCGGAGTTATTTTCATGATGCCTTAATAATTATCAGCATACCTTATAAAATTTCAATTTTCTTAATTTTGTTTTTCCCTTCAGCATCAAGGGTACCCACATGAAGCATTGTTGAATAAATGGCTTCAAACCCCTCCATGTTGAACATTTGGTGATAGAAGGGTGTGTAGAAAGACTGGGGGGGTGGGTGGTGAAGTAGCGTCAAACGCTAGGTCATTTTTCAATGCCCACTGATATTGTCATTGCAAGAAACTTATAGTGAGTAAAGGAAGTCCAGTTCAAATGCTCGACCATCTCTGAGCAGGCATTTTCTTCGCAACTTGTGCTTTGGTGTACTTAATGATAGCAGTGATGAGACCGTTACTTACATCTTCTGTAAACAGAGCTCTTAATAATTGAGAGGCATTGAGTTATCATTTATATCAGTTTGTACACCAGGATCATGCCTGTTCTTTGGAAAAAACTCAAAGTGATTAGTTGTGGCTGACCTATCTTGCAGATCTACCTCAGCCCATTCATTATCTCTGGGTCTGGTGGTGGACATAGATCTAGGAGGATCTGGTAGGGGGTGATGTTCCCTTGGATCAGCTGATTGAGAAGCACTGGAACTTGGTCTCAATGACTCTTCTGAGTTGCTTTCATCCCTTGAGTCTCTTCCAAGTTCAACATCAAGGTCAAAATCATCATCACTCCCTCCTTCATCTAACTGATTGAACAGACTCATTGCTTGCTCAACAGTAAAACGTTTTGGTGGCCACTTTCCACTTGCCATCTCTGTTTTACAATTGATGTAAACAAACTGTTAGATGTCACAAGCAGACACTGAAAAAAATTGGTCTCAAACACAACTTGTTGATCTGAAATTTGTTTCAAAACATATGATAATGCTTTACAGAATTTCTGGTCTATTTATAAAAGGTGGATAATAACATGGTTTAGATTAGTTTTCAGCCAGACATTGGCAAAACCCACTTGGGTTTAAGGAGTTAAACACATAAACAGTCAAATATAGAGACACATGGCCAACATTGTTACCTGAGACTAAGTACAAAGAGAAGTTCTACCAAAGCAAGATGCATGATTTAATAAGGGATAAAACCAGAATTCTTCACCTCCTAGAAAAACACAATAGATAAGGATGGCATTTCAACCAACATGTCACAATGACAGCAGGAATGTATCTTTATATAGGTGATTATAGAAATGGAATAAAGTGATGAAGTCATATTCTATAAAGCAGTTTTGAATAAGCAATACAACATATGAATCAATAACATGAATATGTTAAATTCTGAGAGAGCTTCAAATTGCATGGAAAAAGTTAGTAACCTGGATGATCACCTAATTAATAATTACACTTAGGTGATTGTACAGACTACTAACCATGACACTGATACAAGATTGCCACAACTTTACTATAAATACCATAAGAGTCTGGCAGTCTGGAATCAATACTCATAACCCCGAGTATTTAATCACTAAGAAACTTAATCTTTAAAGACTATAAAAGACATCATATCATGAATCAACAAACATACAATTTAGTATAAGATTTCTCAGAAACTGTAAAAGTTACTCTTTGAATAGTAATATAAGAAAATACAATTCCTAAGCACATTCTTCATTTAGGATTACAGCCATAGTATCTATTGTCAGGTTTTAAAATGTCAAAGTGTTCTAAAGTGCTAAGTTATTTATGAGTTTTCAGTTCTTTATATAAGTTACTCTTACTAGATTGATAGATATGGGAATTAAAACTAAACAGTGCAAATTAAACATTTTATTAACTTTGTCAATTATGAGATACTCAAGTAAAAAGATAAAAATTATGTTTTAAATCTTGCAAATTAAAGTAGAAATTCAACTTTTAGTAGCAAAAGAAATTTAGACTTCATCTGAAAAATTTGATTCCAAATTAATTAACCAGTAATATGAATAAACTTATAACACTATTGAGTTTATCACGAAAAGATAACAGATGTTTAATTTGAAATTTTATTCTGGTAACCATTTCAAGTTGTCATTCAATTAATATTAAAAAAAACATTTTTGGCACAATAAAAAACAGAATCTTTATTAAATGTTTCATCTGACTAGTTTTGTTTACATGGTTACCATCATCAGGGCTAGTGGCTACAAGAATGGTAACTAGTCTACCGAAACTAGTTGGCTGAAATATTTAATACACATTTTTATCTTTCATTATGCCAAAAAATGTCATTTCTATTTTTTATTCTTAATATTGTACCACAATATGCCTGAAAAGGAATTATTTATCTATACAATAGTCATATTACATTTGAAATATAACTTACTAAACATCAAGTTTAAGAGACTATATGAAACATTCTATGCATCTTTGAATTCTTTCTTCATCAAATAAGAGATCCTTTGGTGAATTTTAAAGATTAATTTTTGTAATCTAATGGGTTTTATACTCCAATAAAAGTGTTACATTACTGCAGAAATGACTTACCAATAATTAGTGACTAACAGTATACCTCATATTTTACAAGGAATAAAGGTATTAGAGCTCGTTTGTAATTCAAATATAAGCACCCATAGAATTCCAATTTGTCACATAAATTTAAAAACTGAAAGGAATTTTATCATTTACAGAACATGTGCAATTTTATACTTTACTGTCCGAAATAAATTGCTTTCAGGCAACATCAAGATATTCAGTACCGTCATGCCCTCTGACTGGAGATCTTCAGCTAGTTCTCTGCACAGTTCTTCACACTTATTGTAAAGTTTCTTCGGCTCACAAATTTCACCAAATGTTTCTTCAACACTCTTACTTTTTCTGGTTGAGTCACTGTAAAAAGATATTTTCTTGTAACTGTGGTAACAGATGATTCACTGAGCTTACACACATGAAAACAAGAGATTTGTGGATCTAATATGCAACAAAACAGGTGAAACAATTTGTGCAAATAAAAGAGACAAGACACAGTATTGGGGGCAAAACAGATATAAGTCATTTCAGCAATGTCTACGTTTACTGGACTGTTAGGACTGTTGCAAATAGAATCAGTTATATGTAAAAAAATGAAAAGAGTAAAAACTGCTTAAGTGGGAAATAGATAGAAATAGCACACACACACACAACTAGAAGGGATAAATACAGTGAAAAAAAAAAGATGGGATTTTTACTGAATGCTTTGTCTTTTTGAGAAATGAGCTGTTTTACTCAGATTTTCAAGTGAACTTAGTCTGAAAGGACCTAAACTACATTCACAATACTCATTCTTTTAGTAGCTGACCAGTCTGAAAAAGGGGTATGGAATGTGACAGTTAAGATTTTCCTAAACTGAAAATATATTTCCAATAGATACTTACCTCCTCTCACAAAATAGCTTTTCTCAATTAGGTGCTGCCCTCTATTGACACATATTTTCAACACTTGCTACTAGCCTTCCACCCACTTCTGCATATCTACATGTAAATGATTATGCAACAGCTCTCCACCAATAGGAGCATGAAACAATTCCTATTGTTAACCAGTGTCCTCTTCACATTTGCACTCGTTAATCACTTCAAGATTGGTGAAAAAACCTACACCACAATCATCGTAAGTGGGGAGGCTGGGTGGGAAATGTGAGAGGAGGTAACTAGCTATCAGAAATACATTTTGAGTTTAGAAAAATGTTAACTTCCAATAAAAAAATAGCTAGAATCTCACATCAAACTGGTGGAATATCAGTGAAAAAATGATCCACCTTTAGGAAGCACCCAATGAGAGTCCATGAGGTGTGGAACCAAAAAGAAAATATCACATCTCAGGAGGAGACCACACCACATCTGGTTCAGGTATACTCTTTGAACTTTTATGAAGGAATGCCATAATACATATATTACCAATTAATGGGACCTCTGGACATCAAGTAGCTAGGGTGCGACAGACTATAGTGGTAGTTTGACCTCATCCAACACCAGGCGGAATCTGGAATATTACATTCGTTCTGTGGTAGGCAGAGGATCACCTACCTCTTTACCTTAAAATGGAAATTGGTAGGAAAGATGAGATTCTGTACAAAATCCATCTCCATTTGCACACATTTCCACCCCAACCAACACCTGATCCACCACAAACTGATATCCATGGGATGATAGGTAGGAGGAATGTCTCAGCCTGAGGGGCAAACTGCAATATATTTACACATATACACACATATATATAGTCATGACATGGCAGAGTGCTTCAACAAAAACCTGGTGGTATCTGAAATTGCACATCAGGTCTATAGTAAGAAGGGCATCATGCCATCAACACATGATTCTAAACAGGACAGGACCATCTCCAACCAATACCAGACCCACTAGGAATGTACATCCAGATGATGGTAGGAAGTAGGAATGTCAATGTGGGAAAAAGCAATATGTCAGATAGATATACATTAATACAGCATTGTGCTACAACCAGAACCTGACAGTATCTGGAGTTACATCAGATCTGTGGTAGAATGTGCTATACGCCATTGACACCCACAGAATGTCACTGCCCTACTCTCAACTGAAGCAATTGGATATTTTTGAGGGAATTTTACAATTGCTTCACTATTTTTGTCATTTTAAGAGTTTAAAAATAAGTTTAAAATTTTCTGAGTGAACATATACATGAAGAAATGGCATAAGTAAAAAACGCCTGTATTACGAAAGGATGTCAAGAGCTAGGAAATTACATTTAGCTGATTAAGTGGTATTGAGAATCACGAGTTAAGAGTTATAAAAGATGAAGCTACAACAGGATTGCTGAAAAGAACATTGGGCATGAGTTTGACAGTGATAAGTCATTGATGCTGAGTTAATAGTACAGTATAGGCTACTAAGAAGTTTATGATAGTATCTGAAATCGGTACTTTGATGTAAGATCTGTTACTCCAGATCAGTGTAGTAGTACGAGTAAAAAGGCAACTGGAGCACTCACCATCACAGTAACCAATTACTTTAGAGTTTTGGTTCTTGTTTTGGAATAGCCTGGGAAGTTGCACAGATTGATCAATAAAGTGTTAGAGCTACTTGCAGGTAGTTATGAATACTATTTGGAAAGCCAAAAGAATACAAAGAAAATAGTTTAAAAACTTGTGTCTGGAGCTAAAAATCAGTTCTCTCCAGAAAGAATTGAGGTTATCCCAGAGTTGCTGATAGTTCTAAAACCATGAACATGAAAAAGTCCAAGCTTCAATGTTTTACCAGGCCAACTGTGTTGTAAGTACTGAAACTACTTCTCTCTTAGTCAATTAATGTGATTCTGGATGGATTATAAAGAATCACATGAAAGTTAAGAAAGTATACTATGTTAAGTGTGAGTTATAAATAACAGTGTTGTTTAACCTAAAGGTGTTCTTTTATGAAGAGTTAGCAAATGATTAAAGCCTTACTAAGATGTATTTTATGTTAAAAAAACTTGAATAAACTTGATGTATTGTGTTAAATATCAGTCTCAGGATCAGTCTCTTTCATCTAACCATAAATATTCTTGAGCTAGCAACTTGTGAGTTCCACTTGCCATTGCAATCCTCAATTAAATAAATTTGGTGTAATTGGCAGTACAGTCAAAACTACAACAACTAGCCCTAAGGGTGCTGTTCATTACAACTGGCATAGTCTCGAAGATTTTTGGAGTAGCTAACGACAGGTTGGTTAAAGTAAAGTAAAGAAGTAAAAGTAAGAAAGCCGAAAGTACTATAAGTAGGGTAAGCTAAGAATAAGTAGTAAGTAGGTAGATGTGGCTACTGCTGGTGTAGACATGACTATAGAAGAGGGTGGTGCATGCCCTAGAGTCGATAGAATGGATGATGATAGCCATGAAGCTGCAGCAGAACAACCCGCACGAGTAGGTCCACTCAGTGCTATGCATTTAATAAATGCCATACCGTTATATCAGAGTAGAGTAGACAAGGATGTCAACGGTTTTATTGACGCCTTAAATGAAGCTGCCAGAATATTGGGCTGGACTGATGCCCAGAAAGAAGACATTTTATGATTAAGAACAGCAAGAGAAGCAAAATGCTATATTGGGGCTTATAGCAAACTGTGTGAAACCACAGATTTTAAGTATCTAGTACGTAGGTTAGTAGAGGAAATGAGAAAGGTAATCTTAACAGAGATGCACAACTTAACTCAACAACGAGGTGAATTTGTCCAAGTTTTTGGACATACGTTGCAGGAATTAGGAAATAGGTTGCATAGGGTAACACATACCTGAATGAGCTAATGATACAAGACACTTTAAAATCTGAATATGAACAAGGGTTGTACAGTAATGCAACTAGATGTCATGCAAATGAAGCAAATACCCCTCAAGAAACTTTGCTTGATCTGATTGAAGGAGCTACAAGAGCAACAGAGATACAGGCTTAAACATTCTGCTGTGAATGCATTAAATAGACTTAGTAAAGCAGATTGGCAAAACAAGCAAAGTAGACCTGATGGCTTCCAGTGTTTTAACTGTGGCAAGGTTGGTCACACAGTTCAAACTGTTTTGGAAAACAAAAGTAAGCAGATAGCATATTTTAATTCTGGCATTAAAGGTCACATAGCTCGTGACTGCCGACATCAGCAGAAGACAGAAAAGCCCAAAAGGCAGGAGTGTACAGAAGAAAGTTCCCGAAAAATAACATTTGCTGCAGAGTAAAATAATGTAATCCCAGCCAGGATTACAGAGCAAAAGTAGAGGTAGTTCTGGCAGCTTGTGATAAAAGATTGAGTGTCCATAGTATTAATGAAGTGTTGCAAATAGTTGTAGTAGAAATAGAAGGTATAGCATGTTGGTTATTGGTTGATACAGGTGCTCAATCTTCATTACTAAGTGAAGAACTAGTAAATAATAATCTGACATTGATAGATAATGCCTAGAAAGAAGTTTCCAGAAGTACTTTAACTTTTATAACAGGACATCCTGTTAAAACATTAGGTAAGTATGATGTACATATGAAAGTAGGAAAGAGTTAGAACACTCATTTTACATCTGTAAGGAAACAGATGGTATCATAGGGCAAGAATTCTTAACAGCTTATGACACTGAAATATCTCTTACTTTGGGTAAGCTACACATAGAAATGGAGATCTTAAGTTTTGAAGGACTTGAACCTTCAGACTTGTGTGCAACAGTTGAGACTCGTGATACCTTCCCACTGACGAAAACTAACAGTCAGATGCCTAGCACTAGCATTAGCAAGGTTAAGTATCAACAGTCAAAATATAAAGACTAATCTCCTAGAGTGTAGTGCTACACGACAAAGTCAGAGAAGTGAGAATAATAAGTGTTTAACAAGAAAACCAGGAAATAAGAGTGCACAAGAACACTCTAAGCCCAGCAGAAGTAATGGAAGGCTAAGTATCAACAGTCAAAATATAAAGACTAATCTCCTAGAGTGTAGTGATACACGACAAAGTCAGAGAAGTGAGAATAATAAGTGTTTAACAAGAAAACCAGGAAATAAGAGTGCACAAGAACACTCTAAACCCAGCAGAAGTAATGATGGTAATGGTAAGAATAAGGTGAGTGATAGTAAGATAAGGCAGAGTAAGTTAGCAAGTAAGACTTTAAAACAGGAAAATAGTAATTCAAACTCCTCACATGACTCTACACTTATGCTTAACATAAGCAACAGAGCATCCCAACAGGAGTGTTTGAAAGAAAAAGTACCTGTAAGATTAGTGAAAGTACCTGCAAGAAGTCAATTTATCATTGAAGCTAAAGTAAATTACTTTAAGTATAATGAAGAAGTGTTGATTCAACCTATTAAGATAGAAGAAACAGGAGTTTATAAAGCTGTATTTGTAAAGTGTCTGAGAGAGACACAGTGTCTA